TAAACAGATGGCACAGCAGAGGGCGGGTGAGCGACTCCAAACAGAGCCAGGAGTGAAAGAAGCAGCCAAGAAGGTAGCAGGGGAGAAAAATAGAGACATGTAGACTGTTGACCCCCAGGGAGATGAGGCCAGCAAGGTAGGGAGCCGGGAGAGGAGCAGGACAGGGAGGAGCTCAGAGCTGGAGGAGCCGAGAGGTGCTTCACAGCCCAGGCAGACAGCACCGTGCGTCCTCTGCAGGTGTCTCCTGAACCCCGTTGTCCGGATGTGACGCTGACCCATGCTTTAGCCTTGAACCTCTAAACGATACCGCTTTCTTCATGGCTTTGACACCATACCTATGTGTCTGCATACCCTTCAGACTTCCCCCAGGAGCCCTAGAATCACCTCAAGTCTGCTGGGACATCCGACAGGTACCCCTGCCTTCACAGTTCCCGTGTGGCTTCCCGAGCTCTGGAAATGACTTCCTGTGTAGTCCACAGTGTCTCAGGTAGGGGGGACCCTGCCCTTGCTGGGCCTTAGCTGAACACGTGTCCATAAATATAACATATATAGCATATATGATCATATTTGTAAGTGTTTTAATTGAAAAAAGAAAGAAAACATTTTTGCATTAGATGGTTGACGCTCCAGCATTTCAAAGTTTATTTCAAGTGTGGTAGAGAAGTGTTAGAACATCTCAGCCACACTCGCTGTGCTTCTGGGAGTCCTCCCTGCCTTCATCGCCTGCAGTATCCTCCCTGCTCGTTCTGCTTGAGCCGCACGGGCCTCCTGCCGTTTCCTGGTGCCGCTGTACCTCCTAACTCAGGGCCTTCTCTTGGTTTGCTCTCAACTTAGAATTCACTCACAGGTCTCCTAGTGTCATCTTGGAGACTTCTGTGGCCTCCGCCTTCCACGGCAATCCTACCCACACCCTCAGCCCACCTCTGGCCCATGTTGCCTGCTCTGCAAGATTCTTTCTGATCCTTCCCAGTTGACTGTCTGGGTCCTGGGAACGACAGGCTCCAAAGGGAGAGCAGAGCCGGAAGCTGGGAGGGGGCTAGGCTTGCTCTGCTGGGTGGTGCTCTCAACCTCGGGTTCCCATTGGAGCGCTGAGGTGTTGAGCAAATAAATCTTCTGTGGCTCCGTAGCAGAGAGTCCCCTTCTGCGTGGTCAGCCTGGGACCCAGCCTTAATAAAATTTAAGTTGATTCAGTTCTCTGCACAGCACTGGGCACCCAGACCGTGTCTTGCATTTCTTTTTATTTTTTTATTTTTTTTTATTTTAGAAATTAGAGGAGGAAAATACTAACAGACCGACAACATTTTACAAAATAGCATAGGATCAGTACAGACATTACAGAGGTGTCTTGCATTTCTGAGGCTGCGATCAGATTTTGATCCTTGGAGCTGTGGGTTTGGTCCGGGCAGGGGCTGTGTCCGAAAGACGAACTCTGCAGCCTTGGTCTCTTCTGCTGCTGGGTGTTGGGCCTTCACCAGGGGCAGCACACTCTGAAGAGGTGTGGAGGAGGTCTGGTTGGGCCTGTTGCAGGAGTTTCATATCCCTGCATCCCCACCACAGTGCAGTGGGCAGCGGTGAGCCCACCGTTCCACAGTGAGGTTCTCCTTTGTGTGTCTGACTGTTAGGAGAAAGGGATATGTTCATTTTTAGCGTTAAACAACGTGTTTTTGACTTTACATATTAACTTTTTTTTTTGAGACAGAGTCTCACTATGCAGTTCATGGTGACCTGGAACTGACTGTGTAGCCCGGGCTGGCCTTGATGTGTTTGTCTCAGGCTCCCAAGTGCCGGCATTAGAGGTGTGGGCCAGCGACCCTTGCTAGGACCATCTTCTGAATCTCCTGTTACACAAGGAAGAAGCTTGGAAGAGGAGAAAGGAAAGAAAAGGAGTCGAAAATGGCTGTTACTCAGGTAAAGCAGTGATCTCATTTGCGGTTCCCTGTCTCCCTCCTTTGTGAAGTGCTGAACACAGCACTGCTAACTTCCTGTAGCCCCATAACCTGCGCGCTCATGCGGGGTGCACTCGGCCTCGCTCCTCTCCCCTAGGACCCCGTCTCACTCTGCCAGTGACATGGATCATGTGAGGGGACTGCTTGCTCGTGATGCTGGGAAGCACCTGTTGTTTTTGCTGATCTTTCCAAAAAGTTCATGTTTTATGGTTTAACGTGTCCACTATTGTCGTTTATCTCTGCTGTGATGCTCATTTTTTTCCTTCCTTTTACGTAATGGTACTTTAGTATATTTTGGTTTTGATTGAGGTACAAATATTGGGTTGAGTTTGTCCTTTGTTCTGGACGTTAAGTTTACTATCTTAGACTTCTTACTGCGTTCTGTAAGTTTTGGCGTATTTGTTTTCATTTTTTTTTTTTGCTACAGATGATCTCTGAAATCGTCTTCTACTTTTACCTGTTGGTTGTTTGAAATTTTCACATATTTGTGGGGTTTTGTATCTCCTCAGCTATTATTTTTTGCATTCATTCCATTGTGCACAAAAGAAAATTTGAATTCCTTGAAGTTTCTTAAACTTAGTAAATCTTCATTTTTAACCTAACACAGTGTAACGAATAGATGTTCTTTGTGTGTTGTAGAGGTAGTTTCTGCTGCTGTCAGGTAGAATGTTCTGCACACGTCTGTGAGGTGCATATGCTGAGTAGTGTTGTTGAAGCCCCCTGTTTATTTCTGGTTATTCTGTCCATAAGTTACATGGAGCGTGAAGTATCCCCCAGTTATTGTGCCCTCTAACTCTGTCAATGTTTGCTTCATACATTGGAGAGGATTAATGTTGGGTATGTGCTTCTAATTATCGTATCTCCTGGGGCACTGCCCCTTTAATAGTGATGTAATGTTCTTTTTTTATTATGACAGTTTGTATCTTAAAGGCTGTGTGTCTTGGTTACTTTTCTGTCGTTGCTGAGACAAAATACCCAACGCCCAAAATGAAGGAAGGAAAGGTTTATTTGGCTTACAGTTTGTGGAGGTTTTAGTCCATACTTGGCTGGCTCCGAGGCAGAAGGTAGCAAAGCAACAAGAGCAAAGAGGGGAAGGGAAGCCAAACAGCAAACAGCCAGAGCAAAAGGGAGGAATGGCTGCAAGCAGCCTCTTTCCCTGCCTTACTTTGTAAACAGGCTACCCCCACCTAAGGGGTGTGTAGCTCTCACATAATCTTTGCCCTCCTCTTTCATAGGCTCAGGATGTATACAAAGTAAGTATCCTGGCTTCCTGCTGAGTCATTTAGCCAAACCTCTAGAGTCCCCAAGTTGACACAGTGTATCAACCATAACACTGTGTTTTAAAATAGAGGAGTTAAAAATAATTAAATAAATTAAAATTAAATAAATAAATAAATAACTAAAGGAGTAGCCACCCCCTCTCTCTTTTGGTTTCCATTTGCATTTCCTTTCCCGTCATTTCCCTTTTTGCCTGTGTGAGACCTTTGAACCAAAGGGAAGCTTGTTTACAGTATGTACCTGGACCTTAGTTTCCTTTTTAACTCTCTCTTCAATCATTGTATCTTTTTAATTTAAGCATTTAATTCATTCAAATTGGATGTAATTATTCATAGTGAAGGGCTTATGTGATGTACCTGCAGTTTTATATGCTTTTTCTCTTTTGTTGTTCTGGTTTTTTTCATTTCAATTTCGTGATTTCTCTATAAATTCTTGGGCTGGGCAAACTGAGGCACATGGTTATTCCCATCTGCTGTGGAGGCCAAGCCAGAAGAATCATAGATTTGAGGCCAACTTGGGCAAGTGAGCAAGATCCTATCTCATTAAAGAAAAGAAAAGAAGGAAAAGAGAAGAAGAAAATAATGTGTTACTGTAGGGCAGGTTGAGTGGTAATGAACTCCGTTAATTTTTATCTGGCCACTCTCAATTTCTCCGTTTTTGAAGGACAGTTTTGTCTGGTGTGGTGGTGTTGACTGGCAGTGTTTTCATCAGCACTGTGAATGTACTGTCCACTACGTGTAGCTGGCGAAGTTTCCGCCGAGAACTTCCTGACTCGCGTAGGAGTGCACTCCTGGGTAGGAAGTCACTCTTCTCTTGCTCTTGTCAAGACTCTTTGTTTCTCTGACTCTTGGTGGTTCCATTTTGGTGTGTTTTGTTGTAGGTCACTTACATTTATTCTAGTTAGATTTCTTTAAGCTGCTTGAATTTGTATGTCAGTCTTTCTCATATTTGAGAAATTTAGGGCCATCTTAATTTCAGATAGACTCGTATACATTTCTTTCTTCCTCTTCTGAGAGGCATGGGATGGTCTCTTTACTGAAGTCACTTAAGCCCTTGCTTGTCTTCACTTTTGTTCCTGCAGGGCTTGCATGAAGGGTTCCAGCCTCTGAGGTGTTTTCTGAGTTTCTCACCAGGGCAGTTCGTTGCTGTGTTCCTTTTAAATCCTTGTTCCCTTGAGGGAGGGATCATGTGGGGCTTCTTGCCCCTCTGTCTTGCTGGCATCAGTCCTTCAGAACAGTTGCATAATTTCTTTTCAAGGACCAGGCAGTGTTTTTTACTTAAGCACCATGATGTATTTGCTAATGGAAATGTAAGGTGTTCCATGCATGTGAGCGCAGGAACATGTGTGTCTAAGGAAGGCTGCTAAGGGAGGAGGATGGTTTCCACTGTTTTTTACTTTCTATATTTAAGTAACATTCTTTTTCCAGGTTGTAGTCATGGTATCTGTTAGTTGTTAACTCAGCTTTTTCTGTCTTCTCTGCCTCCTTATTTTGCACCTTTTCCCTCCTGCTGATGCCTGCTCAGAGGTCTTGTGCAGTTGCGAAGGGCTGGAGTGTGACCCAGCCTCTCTTTCTCCTTTACTAGGAGGAAGCGCATCCAGAGTTCATTCCCAGTTGCGCTGTTTGGAAGAAATATGCTTGCTATGTATCAGGCTCGCTGGCTTGTTAGGTTTCCAAGTTGCATTTTGGGGCTGCTTTTTAATTTTTCCATATAATATACCCTTAAGGAATCGCAGTTCAGAGTTTGCAACCTCAATCATTGCAGATTTTTCCTTAGAACCTAACTAGTGAATGTTCAAGAAATCCCCGCAATTTCATGGAAACTGGAAATATCCTCTGAAATTGTTTTTTTGATGGGAGGTTTGCAAGTAGCCAATCTGAGAGAGTTGCTCAGTTCTTCTTGCTGCTGATTGGCTGCTGCCCTGTCACCAGTCTCCTGCAGAAGCACCAGCATTCCTGTGGCATAACAGGTGGCTGCATGCCATATAGCTATCCTGAGTGTTCTGTTTTGTTTTTGAAGCCCTAAGATTCCTAAGACACTGCCAAAACACCTGGCATCTTCTTGGGCTTTATTGGTATGGTATTTTATTAAATTACGTTAACTGCAGGAGACATAGTGTATTTAGGGTTAAATGGTAAAAGTAGGGATTTATAGGCATTTTTCTGACCATCTCTGAAATTCACAGTTTTTCCCAATTTATGAGTACTCTAGGAATGTAACACCCTCAAATTTGGGGGTCCACTATAATTCTTTTCATTATATATATATATATTTTTTTATTTTATTTTAGAAATAAAAGGAGGAAAATACTAACAGACCGACAACATTTTACAAAATAGCATAGGATCAGTACAGACATTACAGAGTTACAAACAGAGTGGTAGGGAATTAACAATGCTTATTGTATTATATATTGATATCTTCAATGTAGTTTCTCATGAAAACACATAGAGACATACAAAGCTAATCAACCAATGCCTCACTAACAGTTTCTTTCAGCAAGGAAATACAGGACAGTAGAACACCCGTGTTAACTATCCTGCATATACATATATACAAACTTTCTCCTTCTTTTCCTTCTCTTTTCCCATATTCCAGTTATCCTTTACCTATGAGTGCTTTCCTATCAGTTCTCAATGTCTATCATATCTCCTAGTTTAAATTAACTCTTTCAGGCTTTACACTAGAGAAACAATGCGGTGCTTGCACATGTATGTTTGATTTATTTCGCTTATGAGTATGGTCTCTAGTTGTGACCATTTGCCTATAAAAGCCTCGAGTTTATTATATATTTTTGAAATACATACTTGTTTTCTCTTAATCTGTTTAATTAATTAAATAATTTGTGGGCTGGGGATGTAGCCCAGAGATACAGCACTCTTCTGGTATGGGTGAAGCCCTGGTTTTGATCCCAGTACCCCATACTTTGAGAAATTCCTCATCTTACATTTTTATTAAGCTAGTAAATTCCACTTGAGTTTTGGTAATGTTTACCTGAATGTAAGTGGTTAAATTGTCAATATATTTTAGTATGAATATCTATTAGAGATTGAAGTTCAAATTCCATCATAGAAGTTTTCCTGTTGTACCATTTTAGACTTCCTGGTAAACACTAGTGCTTTATAGTCTGAGGTATGTTGTTTTTTTCCTTTGCGTTGTCCATGCACGCTGAAATACGCATTGGTATAAGTGGGGGTAAAAAGTAATCACTGAAAAGAATCGTTGAGAGAGACTCCTTTTAAGTTTGTTGATTTAAGTGTAATGTGTGTGCATAAGTGTATGAGTATGCACTTCCATGCCTTTTATGCGGGTCCCATTCATTTATTTAAATTTTTTTTACAGTGTCAGATTTCAAGCCTAGATCCTCTAGCATGTTACACAAGTGCTGTACCTTCAAGCTACATTCCAACCCTCAGGTTCTCTCTTTTTTTTTTGAGACAAGGTCTTACTATGTAGTTCAGGCTGGTCTTAAACTCACCGTGGGCTCAAACTCATGACAGTCCTCCTGCCTCAACCTCCCAAGTGCTGGGATTACAGGCATGCGCCAGCGTGCCTGCCTTTTCCAAGATTCTCTTTTTAAGTGGTAGAAAATATATCTTCAATATTTTTCTTTGCCTTAAACTTGTACTATAGTGTCCTATTAATCCACTGGTAGCAGTGACAAACATAATATGTACGCCTATGTGTGTGCATAAATATTGAACTTTCATACAGATTCACAGTGTTGTCCTGAACTTGGTTCAGTTTTCTTACTTAGGAAATTTAGTACTAATTTATTTTTGATGCTGTATCTATTGCTTAATAGTTTGATTCTATAGCTTTCATTCTGATACCCTGGGCCATAGTTTCAGATGTGTACTCTGGTATTTTTAGCTCTTTGACCTGAGGCTAGTGTCATAGTGTCTGTGACAGTTTTCTTCATAGTAACAGGGAAACATTCCTCACGTTTTGCTATGAATTATACACATAAAACAATTAGAATAGTATGTAGTACCTAGAAGTGTCCACAAGCATTAACCTGTACTATCGCTATAATTATCATGCTTTTATTATATTCTGCTCTTTCTTTAAAGCTACTGTGAACTATGTCATTTCTCAACACACAACCCATCCTCTAGCTCATGTAGATACCAAGTGACACTTAGGGTGTTGGACCTAACATCTAGCATAGAGGAAAGTGTGTTTCTGAATTTTTATTTGTGCATTTCATGTATTGTCCACAAAATGGGAAATCTATCCTTGATTTAGAGAGTATTATAATTTCTTATAAAAGTATAAGAAAATACAATTGTACAGATATAACATGTTCTAACATACCTTACTTTGTGTGAATATATAGTAAAGACAAACTCATTTTCCCCTGTATCCTCACCACACAGAAAGCTGTCATTTTGGATGTGTGAGGATTCTTCTCCAAATATCAAGCCAGCAGTTCGTTGGGGGATGCTCTTTAATATAGTGTAATTCTGACACGGTCTATGTAGAAATAGCCTTGACTCCACTGTTGCAGGTTCATACCCACAGAAGTGTCCCCACATGAGATGACAGGAATGCCTTCTTTTGACCTGAGTGCTGTCTCCATGTTGGAAGAAGGGGCAGAGCCCTGGGGTGTGGATGGCCAAGTATAAGTATCAAACATGGACCGCAGCCTGTGGTTCTGAGTGGTCACCCATACGTGGGGATTCCCATTCCTATGGTCCCATTATTGGGTTCAGCAGCTCACGAAAATCAGTCAAACACTTACAATTAACATTTCCTCTAAAACTTGTTCAAAAGATGGATACTCGTGTGGAAAAGATGCACAGGGCCAGCTACGGGATAAAGAACACAGTGTGTCATGCCTTCTATGGCCGCTTCACCTTCCAGAAACCTCCAGACATTGACCCATCTATTGCTTTGAACTCCGAACTTTAGAGTTTTTATGGAGCCTTCATTCCTAGGTGTGATTGGTTATATCATTGACATTGCTGGTCCATTCAAACATTAGACCCCCTCCCTTCCCTGGAGGGCGGGAATGGGAGGGAATGCCATGACCGTCTAATCCTGCCCAGGTCTTCATGATGAGCAGCCCCTGTCCTGAAGCTACCTGGGAGTCACCTGTCCTTAGTTACCTCATTAGCATGTAAAACCGTCTTTGTCACTCCAGATGTGCAAGGGGTGGATCCGTGCTCAGCATGGATTTAGCTCAGTCACTTCAATTGAATCCCCCCTGACATGTCCCTCCTCATTATGTATGGAAAGTATAACCCTTCCCCATGTTTCCATGGTGATACATGTTTTTTATTTCAGGGTCTGTTGACATTCAAGGATGTGGCCATAGAGTTTACCCAGGAGGAGTGGAAAGACCTGGACGCTGCTCAGAGGACTTTGTACAGGGACGTGATGCTGGAGAACTATGGGAACCTGGTCTCCCTGGGTAAGGATGACTTCCTTCTAGAAGTCAAATCTGCTCTGCTTCGTTTGCATTTTCCCTTGTTTCTTCGTGGAATCTTCTGTGTTGTTCGACTGAGACAGATGCCCTATTGCCTCTGAAATGTGAAGTTCCACAACGCAGCACCTGGACTTCAATGGTCCTCTTTCTTCAGGTGTGCCTCCGCCATTGGGATAGATATGTCAGTAGTGGTTTCAGAGTGGAAGTGTGCAGGAAGCCTTACAGCAGACTTAAAATATCCAGTTCTGTTTTTAGCCCTGTGAGTCATTTATCCCTGTCAATCGTTGGAATCATTGGTCCTTGGGAGAGAGCTAGATATCCGGAGAGAGCCGTGAACTATTTGTCTAGATCACTGTATTCCTTCTCAAGTAAATAGGGCTGAAAAGCCACAGCACATCACCTGCCTTTCTCTCTACCGCAGGAATCCATCCTTTCGACCTGAGTGTTCTCTTCACGTTGGAGCAAGGGGCAGAGCCCTGGAGTGTCTGTGGCCCAGTGAAAGCATCGACAAACTCACATGGCTGGGAATGTGTCAGAGGTGTGACCACAGGTAAGCTCAGACAGGCAGAGTAGAGGCTGCAGCCTTAGATAGTGTCCAGCAGACTTCGGTGAGAGAGGTCTGCGGGAAAGAAGCTTACCTCCCGTGAGCTCACAGAGCAGGGGTTTCTTCACTGTCGGCTTTCCCTTGTCAGCTGAGTGACGTGGTCGTGGTTCTTTTTACCTGCCAGCGTTGCTGCAGCTCGCGAGACCGTGTTACCGGCTTCTGTGAGGTCTTCGGTCCCTGACTCTGTGCTCTGTGGGAAGGGCCCTTCGGTGTCCTCCCTTAGACTCCCAGGTTCTTGAGTCTGTCTTTTGCTCAGTTCCTTCCATACACTTCAGAGCAGCGGTCTCCATGGTCTTGCTCTCTACATGTTCCATGTCCATGTTTGACCCCGTTTCCTGTGGTTGGAAGATCCGGTCAGGAGATGAGAAACTGCGGCTGCTTGTCCTCACATGTGAGTGCCAGAAACCCCGCCGGGCTGACCCTGTTGTGTGTCCCTGCTGTGGTGCCTCTGCCCTTTCTTGCATTCTGCTTTTGATACTTCTCAGCTGTGTGTAACGGGAGTGTGACGTCTTCTGAGATTGTTCCTCAGAACCAAAAACGTAGTCCAGAGACGGGGCCTCCCTTGGATCAGCGGTCCTGTATGGACAGCACATAATCAACCTTTTAGGCCGCTGGCATGGTGTGTGTGGACAGAACGGATCTCCATCTCAAAGTCTCCCAACGTCCTTCTACTTTATGTGTTAGTTTTTTCTGTCTTCCACTACTTTTACTGGTCTTTAAGTGTAGAAAATTCTTGACTCATCCTGATTTTCCTTTTTTTACTGTTTCATATTCTGCCTGTGAATTTTCTGTGATACTGGGAATGCAACCTAGGGTTATCCTACCACTGAACCACATTCCTAACCCTTTCATTTTTATTCTCTGCCAGGGTCTTACTGAGTTGTCCAGGCTGGTATCAGACATGCCGTCCTGCCTCAGTTCCCAAGTAGACTGACACGCAGCTAAAATTTACTTTTGACATAGAGCTTCCTAGGGTCTGATGTGTCATCTTCTTCTGCTGTGATAATCCACTTTGAGTTTACATGAAGCCTTCTTATGGACTATTGCACTGAGTGCGTTTACATAGAAACACATGAAGGAGAATTGTCTGCCTAGTATGTTTGAGTATCATTCTGGCCCTGCCAGATGTTGCTGTGTGGTTCATGAATATGTCTTGTTTTCTCACAATTAAAACACTGAACATTGACATTTTTGTTTTTCTTTGCAAAACTTAACAGAGCTTGGGCTAACGTTGAACTTTCATAGGATTTGGTTTCTTACGGCTTGACAAACTTTCAGATAATTTTTAAGATTTTTTTGGTGTGGCTCTGACTGCCCTGAGGGCTTGCTTCCAAGCTTTATTTGCATTTTTAAGGGCCACTTGTAACACTGTGATCGTAGCTGTTTGTGAATGAGGAATCTGTCTCTGGATTGTCTCTTGTAATCCAGCAAAGAATTAAACGTAAGGTTCTTTAGAGCCCTGTATGACATGTCAGAAGAACTGAACTGGAGTGCCTTCTTTAGGGAAGGGGGCCCATGTCTGTTTTATTAACAAACTTAGCTGGTCATTGCCTCATTGGGATAGGCCAGTTGTTCTAGGTCTGTGAAAGATCTCATACCTAACAGCATGTCTTTTGTAGTATTTGGCCTGTCAGCCACTCTATTTTTGTCTGCTTTGTAGTGAGCTCTTGTAGTTGTACATTAAAATGAAGATAGTGGCCTGGCAATAATCAGGAAGGAGGGAGATGTCTAGTGTCTTACAGGGCCATGTGCAGAGCTCTCTAAATGGCCCCTAAGAGTCCCAGTGTAGAAGGCCCTTGCACCCTATTATTTATTACACCCTGGAAACCTTGAGTGGGGTCCTCGGCATGCCTCACGATTCCTGAGACCCTAGAAAGTACACTGAGCTGTCACAACAGATAAAAATACCAGCAGTGCCTCACTGAGCCTTGTTTCTAGCTGAGTTCTAATTTTTGAGGACTGTCACAGAATTGTCTTTCTGTGGCAGTGATCATGTTGGTCACATATGGTAACAGTCATCCCCTTTGAGCCAGCAGTCAGTGGCATAGAGAAATCTCTTAGCAGCACCTTTCTCAGGTTCATGTTCTCAAGTGCGTGAGGCTTTGAAGTAAACCACCCTTTATTCCCCAGGGGTGCCGTTGTTCATCTTCAACAGCAAACCTTGGCTTAGGCCTTTGTTCCGTGTAGTGAGTTCAAACTTAAAAAGCATGATTTTGTGCATGTTAGTGGGGCACCTTTTAAGATTGAATGATGCCTTAGATTTTAAAGGCTGCCATTATTTCTTGAAGACAGTGTTTTTCGTCCTGTATCTTACCAAGTGGTGTGAAAGAACCTTTTTCTGTGTATGATCAGCAGTTGAGTATTTTTTATGATACTTGTAGTGTTCTTTGTTTTATATCTGCAATTTGTGAGACTGTTCTAACAGGGGTTATCCATTGCTTTATATATTTAGACAATGTTCTTCTTCACTGAAGTAAGTATAACTCAGCAAGAGTCTGTATAAAATTTACGCTATTCCAGAATTTTTTGAACAGTATTTTCTTTACTTTTGTTTCATCTAACATAGAAGGTACTGTTAAAATACACTTTTGAGTGTTAAACTTACTGTTTTTAGGTTTGGAACTTTTGAATATCTTTTTTTGGATATCATTTTTTGTTTTATTAATTTCTGTCTTAGAAACATCTTTAGGTAGGTAGGGTTTTTTTTTAATTTAATACTTTTTCCCCCTATGGTATGTTGTCAGTTTTATAAACTTAACTGCGTGTTTTATTCATATTTTAGTGATTTGTCATTTTTTGGAACAAATGCTTTGCTATAATCATTCTTCTCTCCACGTAAATTTCTTGTGTCCATTTTGTTACAGTGGTTTCTCCGTGTATGAACTCCGTGTATGAACTCTGTTACAACTTCATGTTTGAACACCAAAACTTGAGAATTTCATGTATATTTCCCATAAAAAATAATGGAAAATCAAATAATTGGTTCTGAGATCCAAAAATTACACTTAAAAATTCATTTTTCTAGGTCTTTAACACGTTTTGCAATGATTTCTTTATTGTGGTTCTCATAGTTTTCCTGTTACCTTTAATGCTGGTATCACTAACTTTCTTTAGAGCCATGGTCACGGAGTTCCACACAAAGCACTAAAGGAAAAGGACAGTGATGAATGTTCTAAGCACTAACATGAGAACTCTGTGTTGTCTGGGCGAAAGCAGTGCTTAGACTGACGTATCACCCCTTAGTGTCCTTGTTGAGAAGCCACCCGTGACTCTTTGCCAGGTTTCTTCACATTGGACTTTTGGTTTGAATATGGAGCAAAGTTATGCACAATTTTTTTAAACTTTGCTGTTCATGTAGTGAACAGTTTAAACTTAGAGCTGTTTGACAACTGAGGTATCACTGTACTAGATTAATATTTAAATATCTCATAGTATTTTACAGGAAACTAAGCCTGTTTCTGGCACTTCATGGAATTCTTCTCCACTATTGTTTGTATCACCTTCATTTGCTACAAAATGTCTGCAGTTTTGGAAATTCCATTTATTTATTGATTTATTTTTAAGAGAAAAAACACTAAAAACAATGACAAAAAATTTCAAACCAAGATGGAGAGTAACAGTGGTTAGTACATTGCTTATTGTTGTCTTTAAAGTAGTTGCTCAGATTGCAAGATATAGGAATGAAAAACTGATCAAACGATATAAGCACAAACCTTTCTTTTCAGTGAACTAATAGAAATTAATAGGATAGTTGTCTTAACTATTGTATGTGTACATATATATATATATATATATATATATATATATACACACACACTTTTCCTTCATATATATTTACTTTTCCATTTTTTTTCTCCTTTCCCCATCCCAGTTTCTCTTTCATTTTGAACAGTTTCTTCCCAGTTCCCAATATCTGTTGTACATTTTGGATCTCATTTACTCTTTCAGCTTATTACACTAGGGAGACAATACAATTTTTACACATGTGAATCTGGTTTGTTTCAGTTAGTATGATTTCTAGTTGCATCCATTTACCTATAAAAGCCTCAAGTTTATCCTTCTTTATAGCTGAGTAGCAGTCCATTATATAAAAGTACCACATCTTTTTTATCCACTCCTTGGTTAATGGCTTTTGGGTTGTTCCCAAGATTTAGCTATGACAAATTGTGCTATTATAAAGATGGGTGCACATATATCACTGTGATACGATGTTTTAATTTCTTTTGGGAAAATAGCCAGAAGGGGAATAGCTGGATTGAATGGGACCTCTAATCTTAGTTTTTTGAGGAATCTCCACACTGATTTCTACAGTGGTTGTACCAGTCTTCACTCCTACCAACAGTGGAGAAGGGTTCCTTTTTCCCCACAACCTCTCCAACATTTGTCATTGGTTGATTTCTTAATGATAGCCATTCTTTCTGGAGTGAGATGGAATCTCAGTGTTGTTTTAATTTGCGTCTCTCAAATGACCAATGATGTTGAACACTTTTTCATATATTTATTTGCTATCTGTATTTCTTCATTTGAGAAGTACATATTCATCTCAGATGCCCATTTATGGATTGGGTCTTTGAATTTGGGGGGCAGTCTGATTGTTTTCAGTTGTTTTATATGTTCTAGATATAAGTTCTTTGTTTGAGGGATGGTTGACTAAAATTTTTTCCCACTCTGGGTTTGTCTTTTCACTCTGTTGGTGATTTCTTTTGATGTGCAAAAGCTTTTTAATAAGATGAGGTCCCAGTTGTTGATTCTATGGAGTATTTCCCATGCAGTTTGGGTTTTGTTCATGAAGTCTTTGCTTTCACCTATGCCTTCAAGATTTCTACCTATTTTCTCTTTCAGTAGATTCAGTGTTGCTGTTTTAAAATTTAGATTTCTGATCCATTTTTACTTCAGGTTAGTGCATGGTAATAGATATGGGTCTAGTTTTAGTCCCTGGCATATAG